AAAAAAAAAAGGCAAAAACATTACTTACCAAAATGTTATTCCCTACTTATCGAGGCAAAGTATTATTATAAATACGTATAGAAAGAAACATATTGTTAGAGTTCAAATGACCAGATAAAATATGTTATATAAATTTCAAAAAAGTACATACTAATGCTATTAACTAATTTTTTTATAATGATGCACTCCTTTTTTATATCAGGTTAAAAAAAAAATACAATTTACAGGTTAAAAAAAAATACAATTTACAGGTTAAAATAAAATGTATATTATAAATCAATTAAAAACCCTTGATAAAAAGTATATGTAAATGCAATAAATTCAAATTAGATTATAAAAAATGATTTAAAGTAAGGTCAACTAAACTTTTTTTTTAAATTTCAATACTATTATGTAACATTTTTAATATTGTTCATGAAAATACTGTTGATAACGATTTCGTTATCGAATGATGAGTAGTACAAAGCCAGTGTAGACGAGAATTGGCACAGAAGTCTAAAGTACAAAGAATGATAAGTACAGTCATCTGAAAGGGTTTTCGAGCCCTTTGAACCTTCTTACTATAGTTGGTTAAGAACTGTTTTTGTCACCCAAAGTTTTTGAAAGTGAACATCGTTGAATGTCGCATGTTCATAAATTTTCAACAAGCAAAAGAGGCCGCCCTAAATATTTTATATGAAGTAAATATTATATATTTATTTAAATCGTATGAAATAATGAACATAAATTTTATTTATTTAGGTAATAAAAAGTTTGCTTTTAAATAGTAATGCTAAAACATAAAGAGAAAATGAGTTTTAATTTAAAACAATGACTCTGCTTTGATCTATATATGTGGAGTAAATATTTTAGTTCATTGAAATTATTGAATTTTATCTCAGGGTAAATTCACAAAAATATGGTAACACATCTTATTATTTAAAAAAAAAGAGATTATTGCAATTAAAAAAAAAAACTGTAAGAGAACGTTATCGCAACAGACACTTTGTAAATTATAAAATTCAAAAACTTTAGTTAACTTCAATAGGAAAGTCTGTAACGATGTAAATTAAGTAACTAGCACTCGACTGAAGTTACTTAAGGAGTTCAGAACATTATTAATTACAGATAGTAAGAGCAACCTACAAAAATAAACTATATTATTACATTGAATTAAATTAAATTAAATATGTTTTCTGTTCTACTACATTCTCACATATTAGTACTCTAGTGTTTCCGAGTATTAAAAGTTGAGTAAATAAACTTACCTAAAGCGATTGATTAGTACGGTTTATGAAGTATGTCTAAAAATTATTATCAACCACTGTTTATTATAGATAAGATTATTTATTTAGAGTAAGATTCATTTAGGTTTTATGTCTTGAATAAATTAAAGTTCATACAGATTGTTCGCTTTCTACATATTTGAGCCCATCGTAGTGCTCATTATAATTGTGGTTTTCGAAATGGTCACTAATACATTATGCTTATAATTTATGCTTACATTTCATTATTATTTCTTATGTGAATAAAATTAAGTTTTATCAAGTACGTTTTTTTATTTATAAAAATTAAAATTCAACCAATGTTATTCTTTTAAGAACAGGAAATATAACATATACCCCATTCTCAATGATTATTATTGTTATGTATTAATAATTATGTATGATATTCATATTTTTTTATCTATAATATTGTTTGCAATTAATACAGTTTTAGAGATTCCTAACGTTATCCTAAAAAACTAACCTATTTTCTTTTTTCTACGAAAACAGATAAAATTATTTAAAAAGCTTTTCATGCAAATACTGCAAAACATGGAAACAATATATTTGCAGTATATAATTAATAAAAGTTTCTTTATTTCGGTTATTGAATACATATATTTACGAGGATTATCACTTTCTAAAATGGATTGAAATTTAAAAGCACAATTTTTTCAACTCCTCTTACTTTACAGGATTAGCATATTTTTGAAAGCTATCAAAATTTCAAATAGTATTATTTATTCTGGAAGAGGGACTCTAACAAAGCACATAAATAAAAGAGAATTAATAATTTCGTACTTTCACAATAGAAGGAAATAATTATAAGACGACCAAGTTGCACTGAGTATAACTTTTTTAATAATTATAAAAGATGGCTTTTTATAACATGTATCTTTTATGTTTAGTTAGTTTCGCACATTATATTTTATTGTATAAAAGTTTTATTTCACTTTTATATACATACATCGCAACGTGGTCCACAAACCCGAAATGCATATTTTTTATTGAAACCATATGTAATGTTCGATGTAATATATTATAGCTAAATACATATTATTCAGAGGACTATTAAGCTGTAAAAAATCAAATTATTATACTTTTGAACTTTTCTTATTTATAATAAAGTAAAGAACACTCATATAAAAATACTTTCTGCACACAAAATGGAAGAATTTGATGAAATTTCCCTTGCCAGAAAGTATTTGTCATAAAGTGGAAGTTTGGTTTCACTGAAATGAATATTTTGATCTTTTAACATAATTCTTTTTAAAGATATTTTCTTATAAAGAAAATTATGTACTGAGAACTTTCTTTAATAAGGATATTGTGTAAGTTTAAGAATTTTGATAAGTAGTTAAGAAAATATTTATTATTGTTAAAAGTATTATAGAATTTACGGAATTTATTATAGGAATAATATCCTAATATTTAATGCTGATTTTTCATTCACTTATTCTACTTAATAACCGCTATTCCCTGTATTTTGTATGACGGAGTATGCACAATACGTTGTGTAAAGTGCCTTATTTTGGGAAAACTAGTTGATATTTTGGTTTCATTTCTTTCATGTTTGTATTTAAATATTTTCGTTTATTTGAGTGATTATATTTGGTTGATAAAGGTTAAGAATTTGAAGAGAAGATACTCAATTCATTTGACAATACATTGACGATATGTCGTTTGAACTATGTAATTTTGTGAAAGCTGTTTGTTTGTTTGATTAAGATTATTTTAAGTGTATTCCTTATTTCTTTTAATTTGTTTGATTGTATTTATTTGATTAATATTGTGAATGTAATTAAAAAAGTAACTCAATTTATTATAAAGAGCCGACGCTAACGTCAGTTAGATTGTCGAGTGGGGTTGCGAGAGGCGCCAACTTCATAGTAGTGAGCAAGCATATAAACTGCAGCAGTCACACTGCAAGAGGAGTGCTTATTTGGACGTAGTGTTGGACGCACCCTCGGAAATCCACGTGGCTCGATTTCATGTGTTAATCAAAAAGCAAGAAGTGAAGTAAAGTGAAGTGAAGTGACTTTAAAGTGTTGTGAAGTGTTTTGTGAAGTATTTTGTGAAGTGTTAGTGCTTAGATATCAAATAAGAGTGAATTACAAGACCCTAGTGGACTCGGCGATCCGACATCAGAAGTTGGGAATCACCCAGATACGCACACTCGAAGTTGGAGTCCAATTCTCCAATCCGAACATGACAAATGGAGGAAACTTTTTCATTTACAACATCGTTACATGCTTAAATTGGAGGGCGCCCAAAGATGATGCAACGAAGAGTACCGCCACAGAGGACTGCCATATGTTACCGATGTGGACAACCGGGGCACATAGCGCCTACGTGTCCAACTAAACAACCAGATTCGACCGAACGGCTGGTAGATATCTGCACCGTCAGTCCTGCTTCAGGAGACCATTATAATCTGGGTGAGAGATTTCCTTTTTATTTTGATTGCGGTGCTCAGTGCACTTTAATAAAAGAAAGCATAGCACAAAATTTTTCTGGTAAACGATATCACAATACTGTCGTCTTGAAAGGTATAGGTAATAATAATTTAATATTAATAATAACTGACTCTTTCAGAAACACTTGGTCACTGACCCATGTGACGGGAATATTGTTAGGGTGATATATCTTCTTCTTCTTCTTAAGGTGCCTCTTTGACTAGCGAAGGTTGGCAGTCAGCTCCGCATACTTTTTTTTTTTTTTTGTCTCTTGCGAGGTGGAAAAGATGTCCACTCTCTGATGTTTCGTAGCCATTACTTTCTTCTACGACCGACACCTCTTCTACCGGCGACTTTTCCCATCATAATGATTTAGTGGAGTTCGTATCTCTCATGCTTAAGCACGTGTCCGAGATAAGCAACTTTCCTTATCTTGACGGTCTCACATCCGTAAAGAAGGATGGGTCAGATGTAACATTTAAGAAGACGGATACGCAAATGCAATTTAAGGTTGCGATAGCAAAGAATTGTTTGCATCTTCTTAAAGGTGTTACGGGCTATTTCGATACGTGTCCTAATTTCTAAATCATTGTCCCAATTTTCTTTTAGCCACGTACCCAAATATTTACATTTGCGCACCCGCTCCAGATTTTGGCCAGCCACGGTTACTTTGTCATCACTCACTTCGCCTTTAGATACAATCATGAGCTTCGTTTTACCGATGTTTATTTTGAGGCCTGCTTTTTCGCTGCAATCATTTACTCGGTTAAGAACCTGCTGCAGATCCTTAAGTGACGATGCTATAAGTACTGTGTCATCTGCGTATCTCAGGTTGTTAATATTGCGTCCATTGATTTTAACTCCGCAATCTAGATCGTGCAGTGATTCAGTCATTATTGCCTCCGAGTATTCATTAATCAGCAAGGTTGATAAGACACAGCCCTGCCAAACACCCCTCTTTACATCAACATCTTCCGCTTCCTCATTTTCAACCCGAACATTTGCTCTTTGATTCCAGTACAGAATCTGTATTATTCGAATATCTTTGCTGTCTAATCCGGTGCTGTGTAAAAGGTCTACAAGACGGTCATGCTGTACTCGATCAAACACTTTTTCGTAATCGATGAAGCAAACAAAAACGTCTTGCTGCATATCTCTGCAGTTCTATACTAAAATACTGCAAAAAGAGCTTCTCTAGTTCTAACACTAGAACATCTTCTCGCGTTTGTTTTCTTTGGAAGAGTGACAAAAGTTGACGACAGCCAGTTTTGAGGTAGCCGACCAGAATCGTAGATGTCATTCATAAATTTAACGAGAACGTCGATGTTGTGTGGATATTATCTGGTCCATGTGATTTTCCAGTCTTGGCTTTACCTAGAGCCTTCTCTATTTCCTCTGGTAAAATGGAGTATCCATCGTTCGCGGCATAAGGTACATATTCACTCCGTGTATCGTCACCAAACATGGATGTAATATATTGCTTCCAAACCTGTTTCTTCCTGTATATAACCATGATTGGTACATTTTGTTCATCCACGTTATGGTTTGTGAACTTTTTACTACCTAGAAAGGTCTATATTACTTTATATAAATTAAATACGTCATGTTTGTTATAGAGGTATTCTAGATGTTCACACTTGTGCCGGTACCAGACATTACGAGCGAGGCACGCTTCTCTTCGTGCTGCTCTGTGCGGTTCTCTGTATTTGGTTGCATCAGTGTATTTGTGGGGTTTGCGCTCTTCCCTTAGTTTGTGGATTTTTTCTGTCGTCCAACTGTTTGGGAGTCCAGTCGGGCTTTGGGTGCAGTCTATTAATTTCCAGTACTTTGGTTTTTAAAGTGTTCCGGATGTCTTCGGGTGAAATGATTGCCTGTGATTTCGCACTCCGTGCCCGGTCATTTATATCCTTCGCCACTTTATTCTTAATGTTGGCACCTTTTAGTTTGGTTATGTCGACCGTAACGTTTTGTGACTTGTTCCTTATTTTCTTAAGGGTACATGCTGGAGTGGTTTTGACTGGATTATGATCGGACCCAGTATCGGCTCCGAGTTGTGTTTCTGCACTTTTAATGCAATTTCTGAAGCGGCTATTTATCGTCCCTACAGATTGAGCATCGTCCCTATAGATTGAGCATAGATGAACGAATGGTTGTAAGAGAAAAAAATTCGTGATCCCCTAAATGCCGGAGTCATACGTGAAAGCTGTTCTCCTTTTTCTAGTCCTGTTTGGTATACATTTTGTCAAGGATCTGTGTGAACTTGGCAAAGATCTGTGTGATATATCTTGTCAAGGATCTGTGTGAACTTGACAAAGATCTGTGTGGTATACATCTTGTCAAGGATCTGTGTGAACTTGGCAAAGATCTGTGTGATATATGTTGTCAAGGATCTGTGTGAATTTGACAAAGATCTGTGTGGTATACATCTTGTCAAGGATCTGTGTGAACTTGGCAAAGATCTGTGTGATATATCTTGTCAAGGATCTGTGTGAACTTGGCAAAGATCTGTGTGATATATCTTGTCAAGGTTCTGTGTGAACTTGGCAAAGATCTGTGTGGTATACATCTTGTCAAGCATCTGTGTGAACTTGACAAAGATCTGTGTGGATTATATATTGTCGAACCCGTATGTAAAGTCTTTGTTAAAATCTTTGTACTGTGATTTTGATTTTCATATAAAAGATAATTAGTTCGTGTTGAGTTAGATGAGATATAATGTTTACAGTCTTTAAAAGAAAATATTAGTTCAGTCAGAATAGCCGAGCGTTAAAGAATAAAATAATTATTTGATTTTAGTTTCTGATGAGACACACGAGGACGTGTGATATTGGAGGATGGCCGTGACGGAGTATGCACAATACGTTGTGTAAAGTGCCTTATTTTGGGAAAACTAGTTGATATTTTGGTTTCATTTCTTTCATGTTTGTATTTAAATATTTTCGTTTATTTGAGTGATTATATTTGGTTGATAAAGGTTAAGAATTTGAAGAGAAGATACTCAATTCATTTGACAATACATTGACGATATGTCGTTTGAACTATGTAATTTTGTGAAAGCTGTTTGTTTGTTTGATTAAGATTATTTTAAGTGTATTCCTTATTTCTTTTAATTTGTTTGATTGTATTTATTTGATTAATATTGTGAATGTAATTAAAAAAGTAACTCAATTTATTATAAAGAGCCGACGCTAACGTCAGTTAGATTGTCGAGTGGGGTTGCGAGAGGCGCCAACTTCATAGTAGTGAGCAAGCATATAAACTGCAGCAGTCACACTGCAAGAGGAGTGCTTATTTGGACGTAGTGTTGGACGCACCCTCGGAAATCCACGTGGCTCGATTTCATGTGTTAATCAAAAAGCAAGAAGTGAAGTAAAGTGAAGTGAAGTGACTTTAAAGTGTTGTGAAGTGTTTTGTGAAGTATTTTGTGAAGTGTTAGTGATTAGATATCAAATAAGAGTGAATTACAAGACCATTATCCATGTAATACTGTAGTGTTCTTTTGAAATTATATTTATTATATTATTTTTATCCTAAACTCATTTGAATAATTTATAGCGATAAAGTACCACTTTGAAAGAGTAATTAATATGTCTGTTTTCAGAACGCAGTCGCAAAATAATTTTAAATGAAGGCCCAAAACACTTTATAAAAAATATATTTTTTTTCCAAGGACGAATTGGATTCTAGTAAATTCAGAAATTCATACCATATTTATAAGCACGAAAAGTGTAGAAGACCTACTGACAGACTCTCACATCTCGTTTGCCAGCGATCACGGTTGCTGTCAAGTAGCCGAAACATCGGGAGTATGTATTTTATAATCAAAAATAAAAAAATCGTATAGTAAATCCGAAAATATTAGTTTCATTTAAATGAGTACTCTCGTAAATCTTAGATCTCATTACGAAAAGTGTACATAATATTTATTACTAGATACAAAATTTTTTACTATTAAAAAATGATTTTAATTTATTCCTAAACAATATTAAGTGTAACACCCAGTTTCAGTTTTGTTTTCTATAATACGTAATGGTGTATATATATTTCTTTTATAATTCTGCCAACCTACGCCTATGTTTGATTTGTAGTAAAAAAATAAGGTCAAAACCTTTGATTGGATAATAAAATTGTGAGCCAAGATGCCATTAAAAGCGTAATCCAATATAATTTGACTGGTGTCCCTCAAGTCTTATGTAAAGCCTATTTTGTCAATTTCTAGTTTAAATATTTTTAAGTTTCTTATAATTAACTTCGTATTTGAATATTAATGTATTAGTAATGTACTAGTTATACCATTAATACTGTCTTAAAATAAATAAATAATTTGTATTGTAAGTAACACGTTATGTAATATATTATTTTTGTTTTCTTATATAAAGTAATCGGTTATCTTTCCTACGTCTGTCGTAATAAAATAAGTATTAATGAGTGTTTTATTACACCTATAAAATGAACCGCTATCAAATGTAAGGCACATGTGGCAGTTTCTATGACTGTAGGGCTGTTGTTTTGTAAACAATAAAGAAATATTATCTAATAATACGACATATAGGTAAATATATTAAGTAAATATTACGTAATTATTGATAAAAATATCTAAAATCTAAACTAAATATATAGGTTGTTAATTATTATATGATTTTTTTTTCACATTATCGGTGATTGTAATTAGATGGTGTCTCTGTATTAGAGAGTATTTTTTTGAAGCTTTAAACTCAATTGATGTATATCCAAATCTTTAAACTTATCTAACGGCGTTTGATCATTTGCCAGTAGAAAAATTATTCACAGCTACCTATAGTAGGAATCAGATAATTTTAATGAATAAATAAATCAACCTTACCTTTTATATTTTCTTATTCAATTAAAATAAAATCGCTAATTGTAAATTGGGATTTTCTTTTTATTTAACCCATTCGCTGCTATCAGTATGAATTTATTTAAAAAGTTGAATAAATTTTAAAGATCATGCTAATATCAGTGATAAGTTAATTATCATAAGTAAATTTAGAATGGTAATCTGAGTAAAATAACCGTATTTCAAACGGCACTTGAACCCTAAGACAGGCCTAAAGTCAACGATGCCCTAAATAATACCGTCTTCAACGTTCAAATGTACCTAATTTGAATTGGATTTCGCTGTCAGATTGGCTTAAACATTAAGATATTTGAAATCAAATTTAAATTATTTGAAATATGGTAAATATATCAGTGTTGAATAGAATAGAATTAATATAAGGAAAAGTTAAAAGTATTTTTCTCACATTTAGAAAATACGAGAACGCAAAAATTTTTTTTTGATATTTTGATGTAATTATAAGAACGTAAGGTTTATAATTGTCTTAATAAATTAAAACTTTCAGACGATATTCTTAGATATGAAATGGAATTTGATAAATTATGAACAAAGCAAGGAAAATAAATTCATATATTTTTATAATAATCATAAGTTTCTACCTGAATAATATAAAATTATTAATCAAATTACTTTATTTGAGGACAATAAAAAAACTGACTTGAAAGTCATGTCTTAATAGGCAGAATATATATGAACATTTTAGAAATGGCAGTAAATTGTATACAATTCAGCGAACATGTTTATTATGTTTTCTGTTGTAATAAATTCAAATAAGCTTAAGGAATGCTAAATCATGTTTGTGCAATTATAAATGTAAACAAGAATATACAATCTGAAACACAATAGAAAAGTCGACATTTGACTAACAGTATTTCTTGATACGTAATAACACACGCACATTAAAATTGAAATCACCGTCCCATATTTTGACAAATTATGTAAAGTGTTAATTTAGTTTCAAAAAGTATATCTGTGTCCTTCTTCAGGTTTAGTTTAATTTATTTTTTATTTTGATATTGGATTTTTTATTTTTAGATTGGAAATTATTATACAGTAAAACAGTATTAACTTGCAATTGCGATAAATATAATAGGGAAATTCCAGGGTGCATGGCCGTAGGAAGTGGTGGTCTATCCAAATCATTCCTAAGTCGTTGGTAAGATATTACTAGCTGTAGTTTAGTTTACTTTGTGACATTCATAACACAAAAGATGTATAGAATTTTTTAGCCATGGCTATCACAGCCGGGAGGTTTGGGAGTGATGGCCAATAGTGATTTGAAAGATTTTTTTTAAGTGATCTTATTAAAAATTGTTATTTATGTTATTAAAATCTCAAAGTCGAATGTTTAAAGTTTACGAAGAAAAAAAAAACATTTTACAAAATTTAAGAAAAACTACGGCCAACTACCGCGGGTTCACCCTACTTTGTTATATTTTTTTATAGTCATACTATAATTTTAATGTCACATTTTTCACTTTTAAATTCCCTGTCTACATAATTTTTTTAGTCCACCTTTACTCTATCGTATGCCTTTTCAAGACGGGAATAAATGTTTTATTTCACGGACTTGTTGCTCTGACTGACTTTAAATTAACATACAACGCTGACTGAATAAAGTAACAATTCCATACTGAGCTGATAAGCTTACTTTATTTGTATTATATGGATTAACTCGGGCATTTAAATATGTTATCTTGGATTAGTAGTAAATTAAACTTGAATTATTAATATTTTCTAATAACAATTTCAAAGTTAATAAGGTCGTGAATAGCATAAAAATAAATAAGTTACTAAAAATATATAATTTGGTTCATCAACTTCATCTTTATCAGAGCTAAATTTTATGAATCACGAC